CCAACAATAGATGGGAAGAGAGGCAATGGGCCACATCGGAGCACTGTACTGAGCTCCCAAGATGCAGTTGAAGAGTGGAGGGAATGAGAGAATGAGCAAGGAATTCAAGACCATGAGAGGGTCATCCACTGAAACAGTTTATGTATTGATTTTTATTGAGCTCTACATTTTTCTCTGCTCCCTTCCCTGCCTCTCCCCTTCCCCTTTAAGCCTCCCCCAGGTCCCCATGCTTCCAATTTACTTAGGAGATCTTGTCCTTTTCTAATTCCCATGTAGATTGGATCTACATAAGTCTCTCTTAGTGTCTTCATTGTTGTCTAAGTTCTCTGGGATTGTGGTTTGTGGGCTGGTTTTCTTTGCTTTATGTTTAAAAACCACCTATGAGCGAGTACATGTGATAATTATCTTTCTGTGTCTGGGTTACCTCACTCAAAATAATGTTTTCTAACTCCACCCATTTTCCTGACTTTAGTGGTGATACTTTGAGTTGTTCTTCATGTAACATGATGTTAGCTGTGAACTTGTTTGATATTGCCTTTACTTTGATGTGATATGTTCCCCGTATACCTAAGATTCTCCAGGACTTTTAAAAATGATTTATTTGTTTTATTTTATTTGCATGGGTGTTTTTACTGCATGCATGTCTGTGTGAAGGTGTTGAATACCATGGAACTGGAACTATAAGCAGTTATGAGAGGCCATGTGGATGCCTGGAATTGAACCCAGTTCCTCTGGAAGAGCATCCAGTGCTCTTAACAACTGTGCCATCTCTTCACTCCCTCTCCAGGACTTTTGTCATGAAGAGGTGATGGAGTTCATTAAAGGCTTTTTAATGCATCTAACGAGATGATCATGTAGTGTTTCTGTCCTTGAGTCTCTATATAAAATGAGTTGTGTTTATTGATTTATGCCCATTGATTAATCCCACATCTCTGAGTAAAAATGACTTGATCCAATCTCTTGACCAACCTATTTTTAAGGCTTTTATCTAAGTTATTTTTACTTGGCTTTCTGAATTTTTTGTTTTGAGGCTCTTTCTGCTTATTATGTTATATTTTAGTATCTCAAATTGTTTTCACTATTCTTGTCATCTTCATTCCAACATCTATTAATATCCCCTTTGAATTCCTTGACTGAATTTATTATTGCTGTTTTGAAATAATTGTTTTGTACATCATTTGAGTTGATGTTCTCAGAGAACATTACTTTGGGAGTACTAACTTTTGGAGGAGATATATTATATTAGTTATTCATGTTGTTTTTGTTTTTATGATGGGACCCAGGCATCTGGAGTTAGGTCATTGATAGTGTTTCTTGATACTAATATCTGGTCTCCCTCTTTTGAATGGGCACATGCATCTCTCTTTGTTATTACCCAGACTTGTCAGATTATTAGCTAGTTGACTGGGGACTGAGGTTCAGTCTTGGGGCAACTCAGTGTTGATGCTCAAATGGGGTGTCAGAGTGGTCCTGTCTCAGCTAGGGCTGTGTTAAGTTCCTCAGAGCCCATGAGCAGATCTGCTGTGGAGTTAGTTAAACCCCAGTCATCTGGGCGATGTATACAGAACTTGTCTTTGGGCACCATGATGACTACATGAGTCTGGGTTCTCCACTTGGAGTGCTATTCTTCTCTTCCTTCCCCCTTTTTTATTCTTCCTCCTCATCTTCTTTCCTGTCCTCCTTCATTTCTCCCTCTCTGTTTTTGTTTTGGTTTTGTTCATAATTTGAGTTAAGGAGCTACTATGAAATAGCTAGTCAAACATGGAGTGTACAGAAACATTCAGCACAGAAAGCTCTGTCATTCTGTATAGAAAATTTATCACTGTTTTGATTTGTAAGACCATTTTATTCAGGTTGTGTATGGAGAATGATACAATTTTCCATTTGTAAAATAAATTTCCAGTCTGAAAGATAGTCAACCAAAAGGATGGGATTATTTCTGTAGTTGATTAATAATTCTTATTCCACAGATACAGTTTAATCTGATCTGAATAAATTTTACAACTTTGCGTAATAATTTGTAGTTTTGGTATTTAAAATGTTTGGCCCTATCTTATAATTTTTATTTTCAACAATATGTAATTAAAGATTTCTATTTGAATAACATGGCTGACATTTGCCTACAGAAACAAAGAAAATTTAAACATTAATTTTTCCCAGGTGAACCAAAAGATTAAATATGTACTTTCAAATTAAACATTCTTGGCTATATGGCTGCCCACACATTTACCTTCATAAATCTCTAGCTTTGGAGGATAAATGTATAGGAAGCATAAAAAAACAAACCTGATAACAATGGAATTTCTCCCATATATACTGTTAAGTATTTCTAATTTAATATTATAATGTAGCACAGCTTTGAGCTGAGATTCCTCTAGACTGAGCAACTATAAAATATTGTTTTAAAAATCATAGATGTTATAAGTGCATATCACATTTCTGAAGCAATCTTAGGGGAAGAATCACACTATATTAATATGTTAATGCAAAACAAGAATAATGGTAAGAACCAAGAAGTAGATTAATCAGCTTTAAAATGCAATAACTTTGAATTTCCACTGTAATGAATCCAAATTAGCTCTACCCCATACGTTATCACATGTTTTAATAGATCACACTTTGCATCTCACACTACCTGGAATCTACACAGCCAGGATGATGTTTCTCTCTATAATGAAGAGGTATGTTTGATATTTGTTTTGACTTCTTTCCAAATTTGGGTAGTTCTTTAACTTGACAACCTATTTAGACAAAGACCAGCAACATTCAGTTTATGACCCGTGTGCAGGTTGTATTGGTGTACTGCTCACTCTTAAGGGCCTGGATTCTATTTAACTTGACAGTAGCACTTAGAATAGGAGCAGAGTGCCCAGTGTTTATATGGCCTGCAGTTCATCTTCGTCAGGTTTGAGGATAATTGCCTCATAATGTATAGTATTGTAGAAAGGTCTTATGGAAAAGTTATTCCATCTAGACCTTGAAAAATTTATTAGGCTGTGCAGAGAGCAGAAAAAGTTACTATAGATAAGAGTAGAGGTTAACTGAGACTTAGAGATAGAGAAGAGAGTTTTCAGCCATGCACATCCCAAGACTTGTACAAAATGAGGTAGATAATCCAGTATGATATTAATGTAGGAAGGAAACAAGAAGGGGTGATGGAAGTTGTAAGTGAAGGTCACCGTGGGAGGGCTTTAAATTCCAGGAGATTCTTAAGCTTCAGCTGATGCCATAGAAGATGAAATAAGCACATCTATACCTTAGAAGGTGATGTGTATGTCTGTTTAGAGGATAAGAGGGAATGGATTGTAAATAGTGAATTGGAAAACAATGAAAAAACCTACAAAATGCCATGAATCTGAAAAGGATTGGACACAGAAGGAATTGGAGGGAAGAGTCAGGGAAAGATGTAAATGCAGTACTCATATGTGGAATCTCCAAAAATCAAATGAAAAAGGAAAATTTAAAAATTTAAAAAGATATGAGCTATGTTAACTACAGACAGTAGAGGGAAGCTGAATAGAACTTTGTGTTTGGTAGTGTCGACGGAGAGAGATGACTACAAATGACGAACAACATAGATTCCCCAAGTTTTTCTTACCCTTTAACCAGCAACATAATAGAGCACAGCCTAATGTAGAACTAATTTAGATTCAATCCAATGGGGGAACTTAAAATCTCTTCAAACCTGTAATGCATATGGTTCCTTACCCTTGCTGGTGCCTGGTGCCTGAAAGAACCTGCAGCGAGAAAAGGCTCAGTACTACATTACATTGTGTAAATAATTGGCTGTTGAACATGATAGATCCAGGTGCTTGGGATATACAGCTTAACAGGTTCTGGGAATAGCTGACTGACCTCCCCCTCCCCCCTTCCCCGGGGAGGGCTTTGTAGGGTCCTTCTTTTCAGAAGGATGTGAATTTTCTTTTTTTTTCATTTTTTCTTTTTTATTTTTTTTATTAATAATTTCCACCTCCTCCCCTCCTCCCATTTCCCTCCCCCTCCCCCTCCCCTTCCTCTCCCTCTCTAGTCCATTGTAGCCTGTAGTGTTTTAGGGAACACTTCTGGTCAGTGGGTGGCAGTATTGCACAGTAGAAGGTGCCCAGACTATATTATCAGAATAGTTCTTCTTTATTCCATGTCTCATAGACACAGGCAACCAAATTGTCTTCAGAATTACTTGATGTTTCCTTTGAAATACAGACCACACACTATAGCAGTTAGAGATTCTGAACCAGTCAGTTTGGGAAGGGGCCAGCTATAGGGATGCGTTTTAACACACAAAGTAACTGTGGAATTTAATCTTTATGAGGTGTTCTTTTCATAGCCTTGTTGTGAACATTACAGGAGGAACATACACCTGAGTTTAAGATATCTCTTCCTTCCTCTTTCAAATATGCCATCATTTTTCATCAATTTGAAACTTGAATTAAATATTTTGTATAGTAGAAAGAAAACTGGTGAATTCTGACCAACATAATAGAGAAAATATAGTATTAGTTGGGGAATACCAAGTAGACAGCAGAAAGTACAAATCCTTTGCTTCAGTTTTTAGAATTTCTATTATTTTTGAGATTATAATAAAAATAAATACTTCCACCTTCCCTTCTTCCAAGTCCTTCCATATACTTTCCTTGTTCCATTTCAAATTAATGGCCTCTTATTTTGTTAATTTTTTTCACACAGATTTGTGTGGAAATTTAAGAATATATGTATTTAAAATTCCACATTTTTACATAAATACACCATTCTAGACCTGTATAATGTTGCGTGTGTGTATGTTTCCAGGGGTGAGCATTTGGTATTGGATAAATAATTGGTATGCTCTTCTCTGAGTAAGACTATTTCTCCCACTTTTAGCATGCCGTAGTTGCCTGCTGTTCTTTGTGGAGGCCTCCTGGACTTCCCTTTGTTCCAGCATGCATATTGTTTTCCTCATCCAATTTTTTAAACATCAGAGTAAGGAAAGACCAGAATCAAAGTAATGATAAAATAGAGGAAGGCATATCTCTCTATATTTTAATATAAAGTTCCCATTTACTTTTGACTCTATGATAAATTAATTTACAAATGTGTTATGACTTCTTAGTTTTAGGACAAATAGCTTAGGTTAAATACACAATTCTCTTCCTCTACTCCAAGCCAAATACAATTAAATAAACAAATAACAAAACTATTTGTGTCAGTAATAGCAACTGTGGTCTACAGTACATACTTTTGCCGTCCACCGGAAGGGGACGGCAAGAGTTCAACACAATCTACACAACAACACGTAGCACATACGTCCGCTGTCCTTGAGCTTATCATCGTGATCAGTCACGTACAAAGTGTCCATAGTTTCTGTGTTGCCAGTCAGCTGACCTTCCCAGGTCTGAGGGTTCTAATAGAGTCCCCTGTATTTCATGACAGTATCACAGTAGCTCCTTCCCTTTGTTGCTCCATGTCTTCCTGCTGATGCTCCCTCAAGTCTCTCTCTGGATAGGTTCCATGTAAAGTCATTCTGAGTTGTTCCTCCTTCTACTGAGCCTGCTGAGTCACCAAAGCAGGCCAGACGATCACGCAGGCAGTGTCGCTGGCGTTTCCTTCTGTCCTTGATACCATCTCTTAGTTCCTGTCAGCCAGGAAGCCTTCACTTTAAGCTACTAGCCTGCAGGTCATTTAGAAGATTTAAGTAAATATTTGATTTCAGGAACCTGGGATAAGAGTCCTTTTCCATAAGTGTGTATATGACTTTTTGTGCTTCATCAAAAGATGTGGGGGTTGGTGATTTAATCTTCTTGGCTGTGGATTCTCGAGTACGAAAGTCAATATTGATCTGAAAAAGAAATAGTTGTTAATTAATGTGCACTTGCTGTTTATGATACTTTCTATTATGCTATTGCTGTTTCAGATGCGCCTTAAGAAAATGGTTTTACATTCCTATTTTTATCATTTTAGCTATGTCTTGAATTGCTATTCTAAGCTAGCTCTTTACTAGGTGTGTGAGAGGCACAAACAAAAATATATAACAAAAAGAGGTTTTGATTTCTGCTTCTGTTTATGGCGTAGTTGGAAGGAGCGAAATTAAATAGACATGAAAAACTTAAATATCCATAGAATGTAGCCATACACCAAACCAAAGTGTCATGGACATTTGAGGTTTACCGAATGCAAGTATTTTCCTGAAGATCAACACAGCTAAAAAGCTGCACATGTTTTTGCTGCTTCAGTTGTGTGTTACACTAGTCTGCATTTTATCCCTATCTGAGTTCACTAAGGGTTCCTTAACCTACTGATCTGGCCCGGGCTACTTCATTCCATTCCTCACCCAATCAAGTTGGACAGTTTTGAAAAATCAGTATTTTTCGTCTCTGTACTGGTACTTTTACAAGTAGAGGGACTAATCCCACCTCACTGAACATACAAATGCACACCTGTGTCTAAAAGCATGATGCGGAGGTCTTCAACCTAACCTGTGTACCGAATGCATTTCTTTTTTTGGGAGAATTTACACACACTGATGCTAATGACAATGACTTTAGTACTCACTTGTTTCACAGCGTCTGTGTGCACAAATGCTTTGTATATATCCTCTGCTTTGCTGCTCAAAAGATCAGACTCTGTTTTCTTATAATCTTCGCAAGCCAACCAGAATTCAATATTCTCTTCACTGAATTCAGACTTTAGAAAATTTCCAAAAACGCTCTGACCAGCTAAAAAGAGAGGGGTTGTGTAAATTAAGTGAGCCAGTAAATGAATATATCATAGAAGAAATTTATAAGCAAATTCTACTATTCTTATATGTACCAAGGCGTGAGATTGTGACCGCTAAAATAGTTGCACCATAGCTTGCAGGCAGCCTTGGGGATTCTGTTATGTGTAGAAGAGGAATCTGTTAGCTGACTATCTCACTCACGGTCACACACTGCCTTGTGTATTCATGCAAAAGTGCTATGCTTTCTGCTGTATTTAGGTTGAACTCAAGTTCTGATTATAGAACAATGTCATTACTTAGAGACGACAACATCTGAGCAAGAGTGTAGAGTGACTTTTTTTTCCATAAGGAAATGTTAGTGACTGAGGGTATTGACATCAGGTTGATAATTAAAATATAATTGCCTCATCCAAAAATGGTAGTCAGCTAAAGTTAAGTCTGTGTGTTACTTGCATGCTTGGTACACTGAATGCATTTGCTAGTGTGGTTGAGATTTATATGCTGTTTACTCAGTTAGTTAAACTTTAAACTAAGTCTTGTAATCACATGATCCAACTATTCTGAATTTTTTAGTCCTCATCAAGTAATTTTCCTTAGGTCTTTCTGTGGAGGAGAGGGTGAACTCTCTCTCTCTCTCTCTTTCTCTCTCTCTCTCTCTCTCTCTCTCTCTCATATTACCTTATTTAATGTGCACTGTTGTTTTTCCTCCATGATTGTCTGTGTGAGGGTGTTGGATCTCCTGAACTGGATGGAGATCCAGAGTTGTGAGCTGGTATGTGGGTGCTGGGAACTGAAACTGGGTTCTTCTGGAAGAGCATCCCATGTTCGTAATTGTTGAGGCATCCCTCCAGTCCTTGGAACTTATTCTTGAGATCAAGTTGCACCTCTGAATAAAGCTAAAGTTCTAAGACTGCTGCAGTCTTATGATGGGGGAGGGGAACTGGTCTCAGTCTTTCCTTTCTTTCATAACAAAACTCCCACAAGCCTCTCATGAGCTTGCCTATATTAAAATATACCTGCAGAATATACTAGATATGCCCCAAGCATCTTTATGGCAGTGATAAACTGTGTCTTTGCATTCGAATCCTTTTTGCCTTTAAAATACCTTCCACATAAGGTGGATGAATGAAAGCTAATAAGCATGTGAATGATAGAATACTAAGTAAAGGAATACTGCTTTGAATATCCCTGCTTTTGAAAGTACCCTTAAAATAGTAATTCATATGATGTGATATTTTCTTGTCTTTTGAAACTTTGAAACTGCAACATAATTTTATTTATCTTTATTTTGATTTTTGAAAGCTTACATTCTCTATGGATATGTGTGTGTGTGTGTGTGTGTGTGTGTGTGTGTGTGTGTGTGTATGTGTGTGTGTCTCCCTCCTCCTTTGCCTGTCTCCATGCAGGACCCATAAAGGCCAGAAGAAGGCATCAGATCCTCCAAAAATGGGATGTCTGTGAGACAGATGGAGTAAGTGCAGGGAAACAAGTCATTAAGAGCAGCAAGCACTCTTAACCAATCAGCCATCTTCTCCGCAACCCAACATAATTTTAGTTGTGTTCTTGAATTCGTGAAAACATGTATCTTGTAGTTGTCCTGGCAGATTTGTCTAAAAGACAGTGGTAAAATCTAGTGTTATTCTACCAAGTCTTATTGTGATGAAATTACCAATGAACTTAGAAAAACTAAACTATTACTTTTTGTGTAATGCTCCTTCCTTCCTTTGATAATATACATTAATCAGACATCCAATCTACTGAATTAAAGATCTGACCTCCAAACAATGGATAGTTCATGAATACTTACTCTGGTTGGCAAGAAGTTTTTCCAGAGACTGAGACCACTGCATTACTTCCTCAGCAGAAAGTCTATAATTAATAAAATGACATAAATTATTAAGCTGTTTTCTGTAATCTCAAAAGAAAAAAATAATGGTTGTTACCCTTTGATGACTAAAATTCTTATTATAATGAGTTTTATTATAAATTTTATGTATGAAATCCCCTTTAATTGCCATAGTTATGAAAAATAATCTGTCAAGACAGCTAAAAAAATCCAAGCAGATAAAACTGAACAATATAACCATGAGTAGAAACTTGTTGTGACATCTTTGTAATTAATATCAATTAACTCTAATGTGGCTTAATCTTGTTTGCCATGTTGCCTAAAATAAATGAAGTTCATTGCACACAGTATTTTTTGTATTTTTTTTTTTAAAGAAAAGAACAAGGTTTTACCTTAACCAATGCTGGCCTTAAACAAGTGATAATCCCTCTGCCTCTGCCTTCCAAGTGCTAGAATTACATGACTGAACCACAATGCCCAGAAGCCTGCAGTCTCAGTATTTTGCAAAGATGACAGTCATCTTTAAGGATGCTTATACAGTCCTAACAATTCAGTACATACACGTCTTTGCTTATACAGTCCTAACAATTCAGTACATACATGTCTTTGCTTATACAGTCCTAACAATTCAGTACATACATGTCTCTGGACTTGGATGATTTCATTCCCGAGTCCAGATGTGGGATCATAGATCTCAAGTACGCTTTCACATCCATTCCACTACAAAACACAGCAAAAAATAACAAATTACTAGGAAAGCTCACATTATTTATAAAAAGAAAAGAACACAAAGCAAAAATATCTGAGGAAGAAAGTAACAATGAAACATAGACGATACAATATTTTGCTGTTTTAAAATAGAGCTCATTTTTTGGAGTCAAAGTCCAGAAAGATTTCCACTCACTGTCCTGTACCACGATTTATATTTGATTAAAACTGAATCTCAGTTATAAGGCACAACAGATAATTGCTCTGAGCTACATAAACTAAATGCCAAATTCATTTCCATTTGTTCGTGCTCTTTGGTCATAAAAGATAACCTAAGTGAGACTCGGAAGGAACTTACAAAGTCTTTGGCTTCTTCTTTTGTGTCTTGTCATCTAGAAGTGAATGGTTAGGTTCTTTCAGATCCTTTGGGTTAGCGGAGAAGAACATTCCTGGCAGCTTGTCCAGCCTTGGCATGGAGATGGCAGCAGCTCTCATGGTCTTCTCGCAATGAGTGTGAGTCCGCGTCGGCTGCTTTATATAGCGTCGGCAGACAGATTCTTGCTGTGCAGGGAGTGTGTTTATCAAGTGATGTTACCACAGACACTGAAGTTCCTCCTTTCTTGGTGTGTTGTGACGTGTATCGTGAAGAAAAAAATAAGTGCACAGTGATGTCTTGTGGTTGAAACTCAGCCAAATGAGAGCAGGTCACTTGATTAGGAAGGCACAAAGAAAATTACACACACGTACAGAGGAGGGCACACGTCTGGAGAGGCAGCGTCAGTCTTTGGTTTGAGGGAGTGCTTGCTTCTTCCTGAAAATCGTTATGTTCTGATCATTGTCACATTTGCTATATTTAATGTGTCATGTGGGAATTCAACTTTAGAGTTGTGTCCCCCTCTATGCCTTGGGTAGTCCTTAACTATAAAATCATTTGATCAAAAATATTTCCCCTTTTTAAAAATTGAAAAGAGATTTTTGTCATACAATGCATTCTGATTATGGTTTCCCCTCCCCCAGGCCCTCCAACATCCCCTCACTTCCCCACCCACCCGAGTCCACACTCTTTCTTTCTCTCTATCTCTAGAATACAAACAGGCATCTAAAAAATAACATAAAATAAAAGCAAATACACCAGAATAGATAAAAAAAAAACAAACAAACAAGCAAACAGAAGAGAAAGAGCAGAGGTTATGGCAGCATACTTGCTAAAAATGTTAGATTTTTCTTGTTTTAAGGAACTCTATGCTTTTTAGGTAAGAAAAATGTGGTTTTGTTTGGCAAATTTTACTAGAGTGATATATAAGGTAATGGCTCTCATTATGTCATTTCCACGTGGTTTCTCATTGCTTCTCCTTCTTCCTCCCTTCCTTGCTCCCACTTTCTCCCACGTTTCCCTTTTCTCTCCCAACAGCTCCTCTTCTGCTTTTACAGCAAAGTGCATTCTATTATCTTGTTTTTTTCTCCCCCTACTCCATGTTGACATCTCTCTCCTCGCCTCTTCCCATTTCCCTCTCCCTCTCCCCCTCCCCTTCCCTCTCCAGTCCTAAGAGAAGTCAGGGTGCCCTGCTCTGTGGTAAGTCCAAGACCCTTCCCACTCCATCCAGGTCTAGGAAGGTTTGCATCCAAACAGACTAGGCTCCCAAAAAGCCAGTACATGCAGTAGAATCAAAACCCAGTGCCATTATCATTGGTTTCTCAGTCAGCCCCCATTGTCAGCCACATTAAGAGAGTCTGGTTTGATCACATGCTCCATCAGTCCCAGTCCAGCTGGCCTTGGTGAGCTCCGATTAGATCAGTCGCACCATCTTAGTGGGTGGACGCACCCCTCGTGGTCCTGACTTCCTTGCTCATGTTCTCCCTCCTTCTGCTCTTCATCTGGACCGTGGGAGCTCAGTCCAGTGCTCCAATGTGGTTCAACATCTCATTTATTATTAGGCTTTCTTTTCTAGTTTCCTGACCTTACGTGCCCATGGGTATGCATGCATGCATACACACACATACACATACACATAAACACATGCGCACACACACACACACAACAGACACATAAACACTCACAGACACACAACAGACACACAAACTCACAAAGACACAGAGAGAGACACAATGGGTACACAGACAAACACACAGACACAGAAACACACTCTCTCTCTCACACACACACACAGCATGGGAGAGAAAACATCCGTTCTTTTGTCTTTCTCAGTCTGTACTTTTTGTTTACCAATGATTTCCTGTTCTGGCCAATTTTCTTCAGATGTTGTGGTTTTACTTTTCCTTGTGACTGACTGAATTTCTCCTGTATACATGTGCAGTGTTTTCTTGATCCATTCACCTGATTTGTTCACCTAGGATGTTTCCATTTTCCAGCTATTTTGAGTAGCGCACCAATAAATGGAAGTGCAAGTCTTTCTGTGGTGTGCTGACTTAGAATCCTTGGGTATATGGCTAGGAGTGGAACAGCTGTGTCTTATGGTAGCTCTGTTTTAGTTTTTTTAAAAAAGACTTTCATAATGAGTATACAAGTTTATTATCCCACTAACCATGAGAAGTCCTCTTTCCCCCCCACTACCCTCAGTATTTCCTATCATATATTTTCTTGATAAGAGCCAAGCTGAATATGGCAAGATGGAGTCTCAAAGTAACTTTAACATACATTTTTTTTTCTGATGGCACAGTGTGTTGTGCAAAATAGGCTTTATAAAAAAATGCCCTCTTGACACTACATTAAGAAACTGTGCTCCAAGAAAAATGTGTATTTCTTATGGATTAAGGATCTGCATTAAATACTTTCAGCATATTTTTACCACAGCAGAATTGTTTAAGCTTGACCATTGGGAAGTACTGATAATGGCTATCTTAAGCTCAAATACACAAATAAGTTCTTGAAAGGGGGTCCTTCTGAAATTCTTGAGGCAAAACTGGCATTTGAAGCCATTTCATTGCAAAGGGCCTCTTGTCAGGCCAAACAAAGTCTATACATGTCAAAGCCAGGCAGATTCGGCCCAAGTGTATCAAAAATGACTGAGGAATATTGAGAAGGCCCTGGAGGGTCTCTGTGAATCTCATATGCTGCCACTGTCAGGACTTTCTTCCTAAAATTCACCAAAACTAGGAAAAACTGCCAAGTAGTTTCACTGAATCAATAAGTCTATTTGAGAGAGAGATTACACAAAATCATCATCAACAACAACAAAAAAGAGCTGTAGCTTTCAGAAGCTTTCTCCTGTTCATCTTTTCTCTGTGAAATTGTCCTTATATAGCCAGGTCTGACTCTTAAAAATAGTAATAGTTAATGTATTCTTGTGTTTTCTGTTTGGTAAGCAACAGGCTTGTTTTCAGAGCAGTGTGAGACTCACAGTAAAATTGAATAGAACAGGAGTTTCCATCTTCTTCCCTGTCCCAACTCTACTACCATCGCCACTCCTCATTAGTGTCATACCTTTCTTAGACCCAATAAACATGTCCTGACATGTTATTGTCATCCAAAGCACATAGTCAGCACTAGCTCACCGTGGAGCAGCACAACATGTGAATGGCATTGTGCATTTGCTCTCAGGACATCATACAGAATGGCTTCTTTGTCTCTCAGAATACCAGTTTACATACGTATCTATTGAGAGACAGGGTCTCATAAAGACAAGGTTGGCGCTGAGATAACTGTGCCTCTGAGGATGACTTTGAACTTCTGATACTCCTGTCTCTACATCCTGGGTGCTAGGATTCCAAGTTTAAGCCACTACAGTTTTATGCAGTGCTGGAGGCAAACACAGGGCTTTATGTGAGCAAGGCAAGCACTCAACAAATACCAGTGAGCTACACCTAAAGCCTAGTGTCATAATTTTAAGAATGGCTATGATTATTTTTTATTATTTTTAATTTCTTAACACAATCTTTTTTTTTTAAATTTTACATACTAATCCCAGTTCTCTCTCCCTTCCCTTCTCCTGCTCTCCCCCCACCCCACATCCCATCTACTTCTCAGAGACGGTGAGACCTTCCATGGGGAGTCAAGAAATTCTGTCACGTCATTTGAGGTAGGACCAATGCTTTACCCCCTGTATCTGGGCTGAGCAAGGTATCCCTCCATGGGATCCAAAAAGCCCATTCATGATGCACTAGAGATAAATACTGGTTCCACTACCAGTGGCCCCACAAACTTCCCAAGCCACACATCTATCACCCACATTCAGAGGGCCTAGTTTGGTCCTGTGTAAGTTCCCCAACTGTTGGCTCAGAGTCAGTGAGCTCCCACTAGGTCAGGTCAGCTGTTTCTATGGGTTTCCCCATCATGGTCTTAACCACTTTGCTCATATTTTTGTTCCTCCCTCTCTACAACTGGACTTAGGGAGCTCAGCCCAGTGTTTAGCTGTGGATCTCTGCATCTGCTTCCATCAATTACTGTTCTATGATGAGAAATAAGGTAGTCATCGATATGATGACAGGGGAAGCCAGTAAGGCACTCTCTCTAGTATTGTTTAGATTCTTAGCTGGTATCATCCTATGGATACCTAGGAATTCCCCTAGTACCAGGTCTTCCCCTAACCCTGAAATGGCTCCCTCTATCAAGATATCTCTTTCCTTGCTCTCCCTCTCTGACCTTTCCCCAACTATCATTCTTAATGAGAAAATTTTAGAAATTTTATTCTTTCCTTAACTTAATTCATAGTTTGGTTCAAATAATTCCAACTAACTTTATAGTAGTAAGGTGAACATTGTTGAATGCTAGTTACCATCTTGGTATTGAATTCCCCTGTGTTAAATCTCTGTAATATTGTACAGACCTGGTAGGAATTCAGGATTATGGGGCAAAGGACAATGTTGGGTATGAGGTTGTCTTAAAAATAGAAGTATACCTATACTAAAAGAGTACAGACAGACCTTTTGATCCTTTAAAACAACAAATGTAATTGCATTCTTACAACAGAAGTCATGTAAGGTACTACAAATAGAAAACAGGAGGAACCTCTGTCTCAGAGTACTTCAAGTACCTATATGAGGGAATATTGATATTTAACAAGTGATCACAATGAGAACTGCCTCATAAAGGAGTGCACAGAAAGAACAATATGAGATGATTGGCATTGAAAGCATAGGAAATGAAGCAACAACACAGTGTTGCACTGCCTGCAAACCCCACATTCATTCTTTGCCTCTTTTACTGTGTTTAGCACTCCCTGGAAAGCAGAGAAAATAGCAATAGAGAGAGGTCTTCAGTAACTAGGTACTAGTTACCCATCTCAGCCCTGTGGAAGAATGGATCCTGTTTTTAGGCTATCAGAGCTTTGAAGGGGCGCTGGTAGATACTTTTTGGTTAGTATAATCATTCAGTTAAACTGCTAGTCTTTTATGGTTCCTTGTGACCTGACTCACTATTTCCACTCATTATCTGGGTCCTGGGCATCAGAAGACTCCTCCAGGGTTGTCATGATTGATACTGCTACCAACAGTGTTTCAAAGAGTTTATTCGCAAAAGTGTTAACAAGGTTGAGTTG